ATATCTCCAAAAAAATCGCTAGTTTTATTTAAATATAGCTAAAATAGCTCCTTGTCGCAAAAAAAAAAAAAAGTCGCAGCTACAATGAGAAAGTAGCTAAATTTGGCGACAAAATCCCCAAATTGGCAACACTGGTCACCCCTTCCTTGGTGTCTGTGTTTATACTCCAATGTTGCTAAATTATTGATTTTATTTCAAGTATTTGCAAAAACATGCTTTGTGTTACAGTCACACTAGTTCATATATGTGTGTCTGTGGGGGGGTTGGAGTGTGTTGGAGTGTCACCCCTTCATTGCTCTGCACTTTTTTTCTGCATCGTGAATGATTTGTAGATTGTACAAACAAAAAAAGTCTCTATATTTTTGCGTATTTCCCATTTATTTCCAATGGCGGTCATTTTTGAACATGAACAACACAAGCGTGACTTTTTTTTTTTTTTTTTTTAAGACCATTTACTTTTTTCCACAATTTTTTATTATTTTTATTTTATTTAATCAATTTTTTTTTTGTCACATAGTGACTGCCATAAAAGTAAACGAGTTTCGTACCATTCCGATGAAGTACCAATTTTAAAAATTTCTAAAGAAAATTTTTTTTTCCGGTCTAAAATAATTGAACAATACCAGAGGCAGTGTTGCCAATTTGGGGATTTTGTCGCCAAATTTAGCTACTTTCTCATTGTAGCTGCAGCTTTTTTTTTTTTTTTTGCGACAAGGAGCTATTTTAGCTATATTTAAATAAAGCTAGCGATTTTTTTGGAGATATTTTATTTTTTACTTGACCACACCCTGCCGTAGGCCCGTGACCTCTCACGTTTGCTCTCAATCATGCCAATGAGTCTGCGCAGTGAACACACCAGTACGCCACGCCTGCCATGACGCACACCACAATTTCATTATAAGCATAGTTGCCAAGTCCACGTATTATACGCGACTTTGGGCTTCTTTTTTTGTAAAGTTGCGTGAAAAAATCCCAGGTGGTTGCGGTTTTTTGGGCTTATTTTAATAAATATGGTTGCTTGTTAGGAAAACCTGACAAGCAAACTTCGTTTCTTTATTTATGTTCGCCATATTCTCCAATGCACTGTCTGCTCGCCGTTAATAGCCAACCAGTGCAATAAGTGCAATAATGCAGCTTAATTTGCCAAATATTCCGCCCCCTACTCCCCCTCATTGG